CCAGCCATATCCATCGCTTTCTCTCCGATCGATTTGAAACCCTAGTCGTTTCCTCCTTTCGATTCAACATCATAAAATGGATTAACAAACATCATATTCTGTTTGGTAAAGTCTTCCAATAGTATCAATCACACGTGGTAAATTACCAAAATTCCTGAGATATTATTAGCTCAGAATCACACGATGACGAACATAATTGGGCCAATGAAAACGACGTCATTTTGCAGATTCAAAAATGGGCGATTGTTTCCCTCACTTATCAACAAAATATTCCAAACCATCTCGATTCATCCGACGCCCCACCCGGTGTTTTTCACCGTGTGTAGGGTCGAACAAATCGAGATGGTTCGGAATGTATCGATGATAAGTGAGGTAAACTATCGCTCACTTTTGAACCTGCTAAATGACGTCGTTTTCATTGTCACAATTTTATTTGTGATCCTTTGATTTTGAGCTAATTATATTTCAGGGATTTTGGCAATTTACCACGTGTGATTAAAACTATTGGAAGAATTTACCAAACAAAATATGATGTTTGTTAATCCATTTTATGATGTTTAATCGAAAGGGGGAAACGACTAGGGTTTCAAATCGATCGGAGAGAAAGCGATGGATATGGCTGGTTCTGAATCCGGCGACGGCATGAAAAATTCGAAATTGCAGGATGGGGAATCAGAAACGAAGAACCGAATCAACAAGATACTCCGACAAGTCACAAAATTGCGCGAGAAGAAACCGGCGACGAACAAGCGCACGGCGAGAATCAATATGATACTCGACCTCGTCAATCAATCGATGAAGAAATTGGAAGAGGAGCAAAAGAAATTGGAATCGATGATGAAATTGCAAGAGGAGCAAAAGAAATTGGAATCGATGATGAAATTGGGAGAGGAGAAGAAATTGGAAGAAGAGAAGAAATTGGAAGAGGATACGAAATTGGAATCGATGAAGAAATTGGAAGAGGAGGAGAAGAAATTGGAATCAGTGAAGAAATTGGAAGAGGAGAAGAAATTGGAATCAATGAAGAAATTGGAAGAAGAGGATACGAAATTGGAGTCGATGAAGAAATTGGAAGAAGAGGAAACGAAATTGGAAGAAGAGAAGAAACTGAAATCGATGAAGAAATTGGAAGAGGAGAAGGAATTTGAAGAGATGCTGAAACGGGTACATGTGGATATAAGGAACTCGATTATCAGGGACTTTTGTTTTTGTTATGATGCCAAGCTAACGTATGATCGAGATTCAACCGATTTCTGTAATCCCGTAGAAATGCTGAGGCTCAAAGGTTATGCACAAATGGCAATTGATGTGTTCAACAAAAGACAGGTCTTTTTTTTTTCTCGTAATTTTTTTTTGTTTACTTTTAATGATTATTAAGTGGTTCTTCTTACGGTGTACGCATGTTTATGTGTTGTTATGTATGTTTGTGCAGCACATACAATACAATGTGGATGAAATCGACATAGCGACCACACGTATAGTCGATGATGGATTTATAGTGTTTCTGCTTTTTACCGCCATGGCGGATGCTGTCCATCAATTTAACAATGTCGATTTTTTCAGAGCAGATATTCACGGTGGAACGCAACTTACTGAAGTGACTTACGTCGATTACTCCTTTCTTTATGATTGCATGTGAGGTTTGTGACTTTTTTGTTCTCTTTTTCGTAAAGCTCCTATTATATATATATATATATATATATATATATATATATATATATATATATATATATATATATATATATATGTTTCGTAATTTTACATAAGCTTTGTATCATATGTTCTACTTTCTTACAACTTCAAAAATTAAACTGCGACCATGGATTTGTTTGTTTCGATTGTTTCTGAATAATATGAACAACCCATATTATGGTCTTAAAGTTTTCACTTTTTCAAATTGTTCGTACCCGTATTTACATCTCTCAAATTTCAACGGAACTTATATCATTTCACAAGAAATACGAGAGAGGCACAATGTTCAGTTTGTGTTGTATATTCTCCGTAGTTTCTTGAACACCGTGCATTTGCTACATTTCAGCTAATTGCAATGTAGTGTCTGAAGTATTTGCCGGTTATTTGCGTTCTTTTACAGCTTTCTTTTTCGTATGCGTTTACTATAGCCTGATACCTTTCGGGATTTTTTTCAACTGCAGAGTTTGATTTCACGCAATCGGGTTATGCATCTAGGATCTCGTTTTATCTCCGGAAGAAAATGATTGTGTGTGGAGGGAGGGTCTATGCCTGGAACAATGATAAGCTTGTTTTCCACGAAAGACGAACACAAACAGTGTTAGACTATTTTCGATACTCCGAGCCCGATTTTATTACTTAACTACCCTTTTCACTCGTGCATTGCATGGGTGAATAAGCTTTTAATAGATAGCCCAATATTATTTTCAACAAACAAGTGTTAAATAATAAACATAAAAACGAGCATCAATTCAAGGGGTTTGGTACGGTTGCCCTACCAAATCCACCCCTAACTATAATTGAACTTGTTCTCTATTATTGTGCTTCGATTTCTCGAATATAATCCATTATTTCACAAAAATAATCATAATTATATATTTATTTAATTAAGAACCAAAATTATATTATAAATATATGATCTACTGAGAGTGATGTTAATCAAAAGTCAGATTTTCACATTGTAAAGTTATATATATACATGGGTAAATTACAACCAACCCCTGAGGTATGGTTAAATTACGAAAATCTCCCTCATGTTTGGGTAATTACAGTCATCCCTCAACTATAAATTTTCTTATACGTTCATTCTTTTTGTTTCAAATTTAGTGGAATCTTCTAGATTTTATGGAATATTATCAATTTGGTACCCGTTTTATCTCATTCGAGCTCCACATTTTGAAGCAAGATGATCATAAGATGTGTTTTTTGGCTTGTATATATCAAATTTTGGTGCATCAAAAACTGTATTTTTATACAAAACGAATACAAATTAGAACACGTTCCACGAATAGATGTAATTATCCAAACACGAGGTGTTTTTTTATTGTAATTTAAGGGGAGTGATTCATAGTTACATACTAACATATATGTTATGTTTATATATGAAAATAAATAATTCTGAAACTACAGATAAACAAAGAGTTTAAACAAATAAATCGATATATTAATCCATATTTTTATGTTTCTTATTACAAATTCATAACATTTTTAAAACCCCAGACTAGAACTATGTTTAGAATTCCAGTCATACACTTTGACGTTAGAACTATAAATACCATCTGGAAAAATTTCCCAATGACACAATCCACCAAAGCAGTAGTTCTTCTCAATATCCTTGTTATAAACATCGAACGCCGCGCTTTTCGAACCCCACCAGACATGACAGAAGTATAAAGTTTTCCCGAAAATATTCGTGCAGAACTTCCAATCCAATTCTTGCCTCGAAGAAAGCGTACGGTTCCCCAGATCGTCGTCGCCAGATTGACAGTGCAGAGTCAACGGGTTCGAACCTTCGGGGAGACCGTTGACTACAAAGACCCTCCTTAGTTTTGTCCCAACACAAACCTTTATCCCTTGCACTATAGGAAAAGGTTGAAGAATGTTGGCTATTATTATTATTATGTATAAAATAAATAATGAGAGGGTTTTCATTCTTGTAATTTGAGACATTTAATAAATTTATTAGTGTTTGAAATTTGCTAGTAATTAGTTTTTTTTTTCTCTTGTTTGTGTCCCTTTTATAGAGTTAAAAAAAAAAGGTTTATTTTATCTTTTAATATGGTGGGAAAATCTCACGATTTGATTACAATTTAAGGAAGGGTGCTGACTTGTGTAAATTAAATACCTAATTTGAAATTAACAAAATTAACATAAATTAATTACCATAATCCATATTTAATTGCTCCCGTGAGTGTGGCGCGATTAATTAGCCACAATCCCTGTTTAATTACAATTATCTTGAAACAATGTGAGGAAATTTATTGGCATGCCTAAGATTTGATTCACTTAATATATCAACCCTTTTGAGTTAAAGAAGATCAAAATTATGTCAATATTCTTCCTTATATAAATATATATTCTTTTTTAATCTCCGATTAAAATTAAAATTACTAATTACTGCTTAAAAAGCAAATAAAAATTCAAAGTGACTCTTGACTAGACAAATAAATATACATTACATATATCCAAGATAATAATATACATTACTTCCAAAAGTCAAATGAAACATCATTATTATTATTTCTGGTCCTCTCGACCAACAACTTAAGCCCGACCCCACATATATAATAATTATTAATTGAATTCTCCTATTCTATTTGGATCATATAATTTAATTTAGGATAAATTTCACGTTTCCCCTTCTACTTTGGTTCGATATCACTTTACTCCCCTTACACCCTCGATTGCATCGATTTGCTCTATGTACTTAAAAAATTGTCTCAATGTGGCAATCACCGTTAGTTTTCAGACATTTGACCTTAACACCGTTTGATTTAAGTCTGAAAATTACAAAAAAACAACCCAACCCAGTTTAAATAATTATTAAAATAAATAAAAATAAATTGTGGTTGAGGTCGTGGCTATACTTTCTCGTTGTTTTGAATGTTTAATAACTTATTTATTTTAATAATTATTTAAATTGAGAGATGTGGTGTTTTTTTGTAATTTCAGAGTTTAGATCAAACGGTGTTAAGGTCAAATTTTTCTATTACAGGGGGAAATCGATGCAATTGAGAGTAGAACGGGGTAAAGTGATACCGAACCAAAGTAAGGGGGTTAAGTGGAATTTACCCTACCAATCTTACTTTTATACATTATAAAATTACAAAAATAAAAATAAAAATAAAAATAAAAATAAAAATAAAAATAAAATCATTAAAAAGAAAGAGGTTAACACTATTTTTTTTATACATTTTTTCAAAAAAGAAATAATTTAATTAATATTTTCACCAATGAGGAGTAGTGGTAGAACTCTCAGACAAACTGAGTAACTCTTCCAAATAATCAGAGCCCAAATCTTCTAGAACAACCATATTATTATTATAATTATTATTATTATTATTATTATTATTTTCCATGTTTTGCTGGTGATGATTAATAATATGCTTCTTCTTCTTTGATCTGGAAGCAGATTTCCTCTGCGTCGAGTGCATTTTCTTTAATGCCAGCACCGGCGAGCACTCCTCCGCCTCCATTCCATTTCCTCCGCCGCCGCCGTTGTAACCCATCTGCCTCATCGACTCCCACACCACCTCCGCCGGAAAGTTCAGCACCGCCGCCTCCCCCCGCATGGCGAACGCCGCCTGGTCGTAGGCAAGCGCCGCCTCCTCCGCCGTGTCGAAAGTGCCCAGCCACACCCTCACGCTGTTCCTCGTGGAGTCCCTTATCTCCGCCGCGAACTTCCCCCACGGCCTCCTCCTCACTCCCCTGTACGCCGCCGCCGACACCTCCCTGCTGCGCCCCTCCTCCTCCTCCTCCTCCCCCCATCGACATTGGTCGTAGTTCCCGTTAGAAGAATTAGCACTGCTCTCCGGCGTCACGGCGGCGGCGCCGCCCTCGGCAAGAACACCGTAGAGAAGCATCTCCTGGGAGTCGTTTTCGTTAAAAGGAAGGTATTGTTGATCGGAGTATGAAAATGCAGAGAAAGAAGAGCCGCCGGAATATTCCATTATGTATATATATATATAAAAGATTTGAAGTGTTGTTGAAGAGTGATAGAGAGAGAAAATTGTTAGAGAGAGAGAGAGAGAGTTGGGATTTGTAGTGAAATAAGTTTGAAAGTGGTTGAAATGTTTATATAGAGGCGGGAAGATCAGATAATATAGCTTACTTAATTAATCATTACTATATTGAAATATAGTATATTTTTTGTATTTATTTATTTTATGTGGGGAAAAGTGAAGATTATTTTTTTTATTTTTTGGTTTTTTGTTTTCTGCTTTAAAATTTGGGTGTTGTGTGTAAATTGCACACGTGGGTCAAACCATAAATCGATGGCGGCATGAAACTTTGAGAGACGTCATTCCATGACGTCATTAATTATATGGTCCCCTCTTATTAATTATTTTTTATTTAATTTTTGTGCTGATAAGTAGTTATATTATATGGTCCGTTTGGCAATAAGTGATGTTCAAAGTAGTGGTGGTGTGACTATGATTGAAATATTTGATTTAATTTTCTACGTACAAATTCTTTGCATCTCATATCGTAACACTGTTTATTTTCAATTGTTGATAGTCAACAAATCCTTCTAGCTACTATTGCCCCGTTGTGACTGCTTAACGGTTGGAATAGCCGGTACGAGAATTTTTGTCGATTGATCGAAGTTCAATTTTTACTATAGAAAAAGATAAATAAAAAGAAAGGGTTTAAACTTAGAAGTTATTAAAAATACTTATTTGATTCGAGGTCGACGATTCCCCGGCTCTCAAAAGAGATCGTAATTTCTAATTAGAAGAGGTTTTTGGGCAACGTTTAATGACGAGTAATTGGGCTTTTGTCAATTGACCCAATATAATGTCAAACCTCTTTATCAACGGTTGTTAGGTCAAGTTTAATTAACCTAGCTAGTACAATTTACGTATATCTCGTATAATTTGCAACTAACATCTGTAAAATTAAAGAAAAGTTATATAATTATATTTAGGGAAAAATACAGTTTCCGTCCCTCATGATTGCACCGATTTCACATTTGGTCCCATGTTAAAAAAAAAAACACATTTGGTCCCTTATGTTTCAAAAATTCAACATTTTTAATCATTTCCGTCAATTTTCCGTTAAAACTAACGGAATCAAGCATGTTCCATGACTACCTTAACTAACGGGCTAACGGTAAATTGACAGAAATGACAAAAAATGTTAAATTATTCGAACATGAGGGACCAAATGTATTTTTTGTTAATATGGAGGACCAAATGTGAAATCGATGCAAACTTGAGGAATGAAAACTGTAATTTCGCCAATATATTTATATAAGTTTGGGAGGTGAGCAGTAAGTAATAGTGTCCGGATGCCAAGTGGGCTTTTATTTTGATTTGTGAATTTGTGCTAGAAACAGAGAATGTATATATACATTATATATAGATACATTATATATATATATATATATATAATATATGTATGTATTGGGAAACATTTGACCAATTGATGGCCACATCTGCAAATAACCTACTAATTGTGGTCAAAAAGTTTTTGGTTGATACTCATCATTAACCACAAAAACTATATATCATGTTAATTCTGTATGTATATAATCTTTTATTGTCTCTTTCAAATTGAATTATTACTTCAATATAAATGCTATATGCATTATGATGTGAAATATAGATTTTTCTTTATTATTACTATTACTAAAATAAAAATTATTTTTATTTTTTTAATTTTTTTGGATGCATTAAGTAGAGAAAATAATTTATTTTTTTTTTTTTTTTAATTATTTAAGACCAAAAGTTGTATTTGGACAGACTGCAACATGGTGTTTGGACCTATTAGATTAATTAACAATAATTACTGTTTTAATTATTTATACATGTTTTCACTTAATTATTTTCATTAATCTATTTAATTCTGATTATGTATTAATAATATGCATTTAACCACCCACCCCCACCCTCATCCAGAAAAATAATTATTATTGTCTGTTGACCAAATAAAAAATAACAAAATTAAATAAAAATTCATAATCCATTTTTAAAAAAGAAGAAATAAATAAAAATAAAATGCCACAGTGGAAAATCCATTATTCATCCATGGAATGAAATGGGTTTGACTGAGGTTGTAAGAACGGTCAACAAATTCCAGAAGTTTTAAAGAAAGTCTTTGAGAAGTTCTTCAAACTTTTGTGGTCAAAAGTTACAATTCTTTAAATTGAATAAAATAATAATAAAATAGTGGGATATTATATTGTTAATGTCAAATTGATCCATTTTATGATTGGAAGGTTTTTCTGATTTATGTTGTCTGCCCTTATTTGGGCACATGAAATTTTAAAGTGGTCTTAAAGTAGTTCTGAGACTAAAACATATAAGATTAAATTAAATTGTTACTTAATCCAAACTTTTAAATATTATAAGAAAAATTAAAACTTTTGAAGCTAGTGCACGTGTGGTGATATTTCTTTCTGTTATTATCAAAAAGTGCTATTATGACTATTTTATGTTATTTTATCTTTAACTATTCATAATTTATGTAGTAATAGTAATACTCCCTCATTAATAAAATAAAAGTATTAAATTTGGTACAGCCGCCCGTGATGTCAAATTACGAAAAAACTTACTCATATTTGGATAAGTACAACAATTCTCTTGGCTATGAAACTTGTTACACGTCCATCATTGTGGTATCAAATTTAGTGGAATCTTCTAGATTACATGTAATATTCTCTAGTTTGTACCCGTTCTATTCCATTTGAGCTCCAATTTGAAACGAGATAATCATAAGATGTGTCTCTGGACCAGTAAATATAAGATTGATGTGCATCAGAAATTGCATTTTTTCACAAACTAGATCACGGAATTATAAAATTCAGTTGAATTTGACACAATTGGATAAGTGTGTAAGAAGATCCATAGTTGGCCGTGTCAGAAGATCCATAGCTAAAGGCTCGTTGTATTTACCCAAATATAAAAGAATTTTTCGTAATTTGGTATTACTTCAGAGTTGACCGTAGTTTACCCCATCCGCTCCCACCACTGCAGATAGCCCAACACGAGTGGGCCTAATGTTAAACTATGATGGGCCTCACCCTTCGCTACATTTGATTTATTTAATATGCTATTTATTGCATGTAAGCCCATGAGACTCAAAATATTCATTATGGGAATGAGCCTTACTAGAACTACTCATCCTATTATACGCGACTTAAATTATTTCGAGAGATTAAATTCTTTATTTTTAGAATATTATTAATAATTATTCTTTTAATAGGTGACTTCAAACATATAGACTGTGTTTGGTAAGCTTTTGGGCTTCCATTTCCATTTTATTCTTGAGAAAAATGTTTTGGGAGAAGAATTTGAAAATAAAATAAAGTTCCTTTGTATTTTGAGATGAGACAATTTGTACTGTAGCAAGTCAAATCATGTCTAGAAGGTGTTGCAAAAATGTATTTTGGAAGAAGAATTTGAAGTATAAAGTGATTTTAGTTTGTATTTTAGTGAAAATAATTTTCATTTTAACAGTTAAATCATGTATGTTGGAGAGAGAAAAATTTGAAATCTTTTTGGGGAAATTTTTTGAAAATATTTTAGAAAGATAATTTTATTTTGCGAAAAGAACGAAAAGAATTTGAAAACGTAAACAAACATAGCCATAATTATTGAATTTCGCCGATCGATACGAACTTTTTTTCCGATTCTGTATCAAGTTTTTTATATTTCAATTTCCATTTTTTCTTTTCAAACTTTTGCGTAGAACATAATTGAAATTAGTTTTTTTTTTTTTTAAATTATCGAAAGTGCTAAATCCAATCCAATTCGTCCGATTTTTTTTTTTTAACGAAACTAGTTTTATGGGGGTGAAAAAAAAAGGGGTAAATTAGATACTCTAAAGAAAATGTAGGGGTATATTTTGCTATTTCTAGAATTTACTTACTACGCCAAGAGATATTTGCAGAGTTCACAAAAACACCATCTTCATTTGTCTGATCCATAAACAATTTCCAATCTCCCATCATCATCTCTCTCATCTCTACTTTCTCTCTCATCAAGAAGTGAGAGGATAACGTTTTCCCCCTTAACCACCACCACCACCACCACCACCACCATGCTCTCACTCACCGTAAACACTCCCAACCCCACCTATCTCTCCACCCCCTTCCTCCCCAACCACCACCATCACCGCCACCCTCCGCCGCCGCCGTCAAATCCCCAAAACAGACCATCCAAACCCCTCTCCATCTCCGCCATCATCATCCCACCTTCCTCCTCCACCTCCCACAAGCAGCAATCTCAGCTCTACCAACCCTACCGCCCGCCGCCTACCCTCCTCCCCGCCAAGTGGCGCTACCTCGACACCAACCAGAAGCTCGACATCCTCACCGATCGATTGGGTCAGTGGTTCGAATACGCCCCCTTAATCACATCCCTAATCCAGGAGGGTTTCATCTCCACCACCATCGAGGAGATCACCGGAATCGCCTCCATCGAACAGAACCGCCTCGTCGTCGCCACCCAGGTCCGCGACTCCCTCGTCGAGGACACCGACCCGGAGACCGTCGCCTTCTTCGACAACCCCGCCGGCCCCAAGATCCTCTACGAGCTTCGAATTCTCAGCGCCGAGCAACGCGCCGTCGCCGCGCGTTATCTGATTGCAAATGGCTTCGACGCCAGGAAAACGGAAGAGCTTGCCAGGTCAATGAAGGACTACCCGCGCAGGTACGGGGATAAATGGTATCAGAGCTTCGACGGCAATCTTCCCGGAGATTGTTTGGCCTATATGTATTTCCGGCAGGCGCAGGAGCACAAAACGGCGTTCTCGCCGGAGCAGAGTATCACCGCTCTTGAAAAAGCTTTGGAGATGGCCGAAACCGAGAAGGCGAGACAGAGAGTGCTGAGAGATTTAGAAGCTAAAGACGGAGATGGCAAAGAAGAAGTCAACCCCGACGAGCTGGTCAAAGTTCCGGTGGTCAGAATGGCTTACGGCGAGGTTGCCGAGTCGACCGTGGTGGCGGTTTTCCCGGTTTGCAGCGGGGACGCTGGTGGAGAGATCGAGGTGGGGGATGCGCCTTGGGAATGCAGGACCAGGGGCAGTTTCGGGATAGTGAAGGCGGAGAAGGGGTGGAGCCGGTGGGTGGTTCTGCCGGGGTGGGGGCCGGTGGCGGGGCTGAAGAGGGGCGGAGTGGCGGTGGCTTTCTCGAAGGCCGGTGGGGTATTGCCGTGGAAGGGGAAGAGGAGGGATGCGAACGAGGAGATTTTGGTGGTGGCGGATAGGGGGAGGAAGGTGGTGGAGTACGACGAAGGGTTTTATTTGGTTTCCGGTGGCGGCAAGGAGGGTTTGAAGGTGGAGAGAGGGGACAAGTTGAAGGGGAAGGGGATGGTGAATACCTTGGGTGCGGTGGTCTTGGTGGTTAGGCCGCCAAGAGACGACAACGATAACACATTGAGCGATGTCGAATGGGAATGAGAAGAAAAAAAACCCGAATTCGCTTATGTTGAGATTCTTCATAGCTAACTATAAGTAAGTGAAGAAGATTGTTTGATAGAAGAGACTAGTTTTTGGACAAGAGAGTAAGGAGTTATTTCCTATGTTGTTTAGTTGTATTTATTATTCATCACAAGGAACTTGTATTAGTTAAAATAGATAATAAATTTTGAATGTTGAGCTTTTTATATTGCTACTTCATTGTTGTTCATTCCTAGGCTGAAAATCGAACAAAAACGACCTATATCCTCGATTCAAGATCATTCGTTAATAATATAATGGCCCAAGTTTGATCAAACTCGAGCTTGAGTGAAAAAAATAGTAATAAAACATGCAAACAAGATCAAGCTACTTGAACTTGATTCATGTTTGGCTCAATTAGAGCTCTCGTCTGAGTTCGACTCAATTGCTTTTATCAAATAAGACTCAAAACACTACTTTGAAAACTCGAAGAACTTTCCTCAAGCAAATAAAGCAAATGGACCATACTTTATTGAGTTAATAAGCTTCAAAAAACCGCAGCTTAAACGATATACATAACAACCAGCTTAAACAAATTAACAAGATTAATTAACCCTAATCCTCATTAATCTCACCACAATCTTCAATAACAACCGGGGCGGAAGTCGTACCGGACTGAGAACCAACCTTCTCCATCTCCTTCACAACACTGTACCCATCCACTACTTCTCCAAACACAACGTGCTTCCCGTCGAGCCACCCTGTCTTTGCGGTCGTTATAAAGAACTGCGACCCATTTGTACCGGGCCCCGAATTCGCCATGGATAGCAACCCTGGCTTCACATGCTTTTTAGTGAAATTCTCATCGGCGAATTTCTCGCCGTAAATCGATTCTCCACCCGTGCCGTTACCCCTGGTAAAGTCGCCGCCTTGGCACATGAAATCTGGAATAATGCGGTGGAATTTAGATCCCTTGTAATGTAAGGGCTTGCCGGAAGATCCGATTCCCTTTTCGCCGGTGCACAAAGCTCGGAAATTTTCGGCAGTTTTCGGCGTGGTGTCGGCGTATAGCTGCATCACCACTCGGCCGGCTTTCGCCTTTCCGATCAGTATATCGAAGAAAACCTTTGGGTTCTTCATTCTGCTGATAAAATTCTGAAGAAAATAAAATCAAATCAGTCGGATTTAATTCAAGGAACCCTAATTTGATAAAATGTACAGATCGGAGATGTGTATCAGGTAATTATTCCTCACGATAAAGCGAATAGCAGAATCGAGAAGACATTAAATTACGGATGATTGATTTTGATTTAGCACAGTTATTGAGCTACATGAGCTTTTAGTTAAGTTTATGCCCATGAAGCCTTCGATTTGTGCACACACAGACACACACACACACACACACACACACACAGTACAGACATTGTTGAAGCTTGAAATATACGCAAATAAATGGAATAGTACAGAGGAAAGATGTACCTTTGTATCTCCGGCGAGAAGTGGGGATGAAGACGAAGAGGAATTGTTAGGGATTTTGGCTTAGAGGCGCTGCCTTTATACAGACCACAAAAATAACAATGGCTGCGGTATGATTTAGGGTTTAGGGTTTTACATTTATTTTGCAACGACAGTCCCTATTTGTTCACGTATTTAAACACTAACCCTTCGCTGAAATTTACATCGATTTAATATTTGGTCCTCATGTTTACAAAAAACACATTTGGTCCCTCATATTTCAATAATTTAACATTTTTGGTCATTTCCTTCAATCTATCATTAGTCCGTCAGTTAGGGCAGTGATGGGCACGGCACATGCTTCTTTCCGTTAGTACTAAAGGACAATTAACGGAAATGACTAAAAATGTTTGAAATTTTAAAACATGAGGGACTAAATATATTTTTTGTGAACATGGGGATCATATGTGGAATTGGTGCAAACTTCAGGGATAAAAATTGTATCTTTCCCCTTAGATTTCCTATCAAGTCAAGCCCAAAGGCGTTTTCTTTTTTTGCCCATTTTAAGTCTGTATTATCAGATCTCCTTTATTAAATATTGTTTTATGAAAAATAATATAAAAACCTGATGATTAAGTATTGTTAACAAATTAAATTCACATAATTGTGTTTTAGGCCTTTCACATTGCATTTTAATTCACTACATTTAAAGTATAATAGCAAATGGAGCACATGAATTAAGGATTTAGAATATGGATTCAAGACGAAAATCCAATTTTACACGATTTTTGTTCGAATTGCAGCGTTAAAAGATTAAAGATAATACATACACCCAACTCTTCTAATTTCTTATACAGTTCCAATACTCGAATTTTTTTTTTTAAGAAAGATGACATCATCCGAGCCACTGCTGACATTGTCGATCTCCATTGCCACCAACAGACCGACGAATGCTGATCTTTTCAGTCGAATACTTTTGCTGTAGCCACTCAAAACCGTTCACATCAAGCTTACCAGAAACAGACTTACCTTGCTTCCTCCGAGTTTGCTGCTCCTTGATCGAAGCCCAAAGCTTCTCAATTGCACCCCTTTGTAGGGCTGTGAATCTCGATATGTTTTCAAATGCGTGCTTTGCTAAGATGTCAATCGCCGTTTGGCACCTGCATTAGAAATTTAGCACAACGCCCGTTATATTCCAAACTCGGATAATTATTATAATAAGTTGATGAGAAAAGAAAAAAAAGAAGTTAATTTAACCATGGCATATTGTATCTCTTGGCAGCAAAATCTAAACAGGAAATTAATGCTTCTCTTTTTGACTTGAGCAATCTCCTATTTTCTTGTTCGTCGTCTTTTTTGCTATTGAATAATGACTCTTTGTTTCCTTTTGCTATCAGGGCATCGAGTCCAAACGGATCGGGCTCTTCAGAAGTAATAGGAGATGGTTCCTCAGTTTCTTTAGTCTCGTCTTTGAGAGCAATGGCTTCTTCCATATCATCGTCTTTAGTTGCAAGAGGAAGGGCAGATATGTCCTCTTTTATTCTCCCAGTTGCTTTTGAAAACTGAAAGATAATCCAAGAAAAACCGGGTATTAGTTCCTAGCCACCAAGAAAAAAGAAAAAAAAAAAGAAACAAATCACATTACGATTTTCTGCACCGGTAGTTATGCTGGTGTTTCATTGACTAATAGATTGATTATTTACCTTCCCAATTTCACTTTTGATCTTAGCTGCCTAAATTTTTAATGAACCATAAATGCCTTTAGCAATATGTCAAGCTTAGAAGTATCTATAGTCAAATTGTTGTATAACCAGGACGACTGAATTCTGTTACATTTCCAAACAGAAAAATATGAATGGGGATGCCACAGCCATTGGGTTTTTCGACAAAGGAAACTGGAGGGAGATGATGGTAATTTCAGAAGAGACAGATGCATGATCAGTAATTAAAATACTTCCTCGGGACATTCATCGTATCAAGCCATATATTGGAATTTAATTGCGATAAGGTTTTCAAGAAAAGCACTATAACACACTCAAAAGACCATATCACAAACGGGCAGAAAGTAATAGAAATTCATTTTTTTATATACCATGATAATGAAGAAAAAATGGTTGGAACATGGAGGAAAAAGATCCCAATAATATATTAGGATCAAGAGCAATTCTCCCATGTAACTGCAAGGCCTTACAACACACACACACATACAAACACCCGGCACGTAACAAAATCAACAATTCATGAAAAGACACTATTCAAACATATAATTGAACATAAATAAGTAAAAAAGATCTAATTGGAAGAGCTCCATATTAGCTCATTTTTTGACAATTTGTAGGAAGCAAGCAAAATTATCTAATAAAGTTAAAACACACAGTATGACACATACAATCTCAAATTGTCTGCCGGCAACTTGCATATCATTATGTCAATCAAATTTACCAAGTTGCAGTATCCAGTATCTTCATACGAAGCACATTTACAGAAAAAATATGGTTACGATAGCTATACCTTTATCAGAGTTTACATGTAACAAATTCAGATGCAACAAACTACTGCAGAAAAGGTATTAATTAACCTAGTCCTAAATATTACAATGTGTTCGTGTATGTCAGGCGCTTGCAATGCTAAGGCATAAGGCCACAAAACACAGCAATCAATAAGATCATAATAAAAGCATAGGACGAGTATACAAACTTACCACAAAGCCGTCATCTGTGAACAGATCATTTGCCCAAACAGCCCTAATTGTCCATGTACTAAACAGATTCTGCTGCTTCTTGCTTAGGAGCTGCACCAATGTGGAATTAAATCAAGTCATAGTTTGACCCTCATAAAGAATATATATATATATATATATATATATATATATATATATATATATATATATATATATATATATATATATATATATATGTGTGAGTTGTGACAGTACGAGCGAAAGCTTACCTGAGCTACATCTTGAGCGGCCGAGAACAGTGCATGGTAGTCAGCGCGTAATGAGGGCTCGTTGCAACTAGTTAAGGACGACATTGCAGCTTCGAGTACCGCAAAGAAATAATCGCTGGTCGTTTCTTTGACACTGCCAGCTTGAATCAGCTGAATTGCAAGCTTCGATGCCTTACTGAACTTTGATGGATTCTTTATGTGTGAAGTTATTTTCTGCATGGCCTCGATTACTTGTTTCTCCGAGGCATCTGTAGTGGTCTTAAACCTCAAACGTTTTTCGGGAGGAGCTGCAAGTTAACAAGGGTCATTCAGCGTTTTATTGTAGTATCGGATTTGTTTCTAAAATGCAAATCTAAAGATGCCAAAGGACTAACTCCCAACACATTTTGGTTATATGTATCAAAATATTCATGAAAGATTCAGCAAAAGAAAAAGAAACTAAAACATGTTTAACTTATTTTTTAGTGTAATAATGATCTTAAATTGTTAAAATCAACATTAATTTGTTAAGCTTCATCAAGTACTTAGAAGATAAAGTACTTAGAACATCAGCTATTGGATGCAATCACCTTAATGAGAATGAAATCCACACTACCGCAAAATCATGAAATCCTCAAAATGAATCCTGAAATCCACAAATCATAACCTAAATGTTCAAAGTTGAAAAGATACCAAAAAATAAATAAAAAGCCCTATAAAATTATTCACATAAAAGTGCGTATTGAAATAAAAAAAAAAAAAAAAAAAAAAACACCGAGAAGGTTGTAATGTAAAATTAGAATTGAAATTGAGAGAAAAACCTTGAGGCTGAGACTCGGGTCGAGGCTTGGGACGTTTGAGGGCGCTCTTTAGTGCAGGAGCAGGAGGAGGTGGTGGTTTCGACGAAGATTCTGGAGTTGTAATTTTGACAGAGGACTGAACAATTTGTTGAGATTGTACTGCAACCGGAGGCGGCAAATCCTGAAAAAGGTCACCAGCCATTGCTGCGGTGCTGCTCCCTTCGTCTACAATCCACTCTCTCTCTCTCTCTCTCTCTTCGACTCGGGTTTTGAAGAAACTCCGTATTGAAAAAAACTAGAGAGAGAAAGCTAGAGAGAGAGAAAAGTCGGTCGTGACTCGTGAGGCACCGGACCAGTTTTATTTTCACTTTTTCGGGTGAGACTCTGTGCTATGCAGGTCCAATAATAGAAAAGCAATTTAAAAATTAATTTATATAAAATTAAAATATTACGTAATTTCAGTTTTAAACAATTGTTTTGTTAAAATAATTATTACATTCAGAATGGCCAAAATTCAACAACATCCAATGCAATTGCCAATTGGCTCAACTTAGGCCAGACCAACAAGATCCAATTAGTGTTTTCTTTAACAAACCTATAACGAAAATTTCATAACAAACCCAAGTCTAATTTGATTAATCAAACATACATGAACAGATAATTATACACACATAATAATAAATATATAAGAGGATCAGATTATAATTTTTGAAAAAAGAAAGATTAAATCTGTTTTAGAAGAAAAGAAAGATAAACATAATCTCGTTCCAGGATATAATGAAACCAGTGTCAAGATATATTCATAAACATAGCAAAAGTAGAGATCCAACACTTGAGAAACATTAAAAAAAACGTAAACGCCAAGATCAAGAGCACTAACAACTCATCCAAAAACGCAAACGGAATATTGAAATCAAACTCCCACCAAATTAAACCGCATCCTCGTTGAAATTAACCGCAAGATCCCAATAATGAGCAACACCATGGTCCGCAAAGAACTTCCGAGCAGCAGCCTCGGTCCTGCACTCATGCACAAAAAACCTATTAAACCCAGGTTTAGCAACACTCCCCTGCCAGACAAGCACACACTTGTTCATCTCTTTCTCTTCATCCTCCTCGTTTTCATCACCCTCGTCTTTCTTCACAGCAGCACTCCAATCAATCCTCCTCAGCATAAGCTTCCCATACCTCTTAATCGATTTCGCACCCCCTTCAACAACAACAACACTTATCCCTTCCGAAAAAATCACCGCACAGCCAGTCAGCCTATTCTCCTGCGCGTTGATATCAACCTTAAACCGTGCCTGCGGGTGAGAAAGACTGTTAATCTTGTAAACCGAGACTATACTATCAACATTAGCGTTCGCATCCTCGAAGAGCTTCTTCTCCTTCTTCTCACGGCGCTCGGCCGGAGTGAGTTTACGAGCAATGTTTCTGTCGATGTGGGCTTGCTCTCGTTCGGCTGCAGCGCTTCTTATTTCCATTTCCATCTTTGTGGGATCTTGTGTTGCTTCTGCACCAAGGACTTTCATTAGGTTGCTCATTTTGACTTTGGGCTTTGGTGGCTCCAGTACGCCTAGCCTAATCATCTCCTGCCTGTCTTTCTCCCTGGCTAATCGGCGCTGTGTACGGAGTTTCTTCTGCTCTTTCTTGGTTAGCTTCAATGGTTGGGGTGGTGGAGGTGCTGGTTCAGCAGGGGGTTCGATTGGTCGAGGGTGTTCCACGTATATGGTCATCTTCTCCATCTTGATTTTTTCTTCTGTTATGCCATCATCAACGATGTCCCCATAGGTACCAGATTGCAGAAAAGGCACGTCCCTGCAAGTCGAATGAAAAGTTATCAATTGTACATCATAATTATTTATTAACATCTCTATTTTTATTTTTATTTCTAAAAGAGAAATAATTTATGTTTCCCCTTGCTAAGACCTGGTAAGGAAAGATGACTGCTAGAAAGATTTAACACCCAACTCCAAATATTATAGGGATATAGAACTGTGACAAGCCGTATATATACATATATGTCGACATGTATTTTATCGCAACATATCACTATCTTAATAAGTATATGAACGGCATTTCTTAGCATTTGAAACACCAAAATGACAGTGAACAGAAACAAATAAAGTTTTAGATGTGTATAAAAGCCATTTATGTTAACTTTCTCATGTTTTCTTCTAATTGAAACATATTCCTGGGAATTTGAGAAAACTAAAACCAGTTAAAGAAGGAAGGCTTGACTTACCACCACTCAACTTCTGGAATTGGTTCCTTGGGTTTTTCTTTGGCAGTCATCACCCTCTCTCCTACTTCTATCAGATTTGGGTTCATATCAGGCTCTGCCTTTGCCCTTGCCAACTGCGCTTGCTTTGCCTTCAGCTCCTTCGCTTTTGCTTCTCCGAATTGAGACTGAAAGCCATATTCAGATGAATCAGAGCAGGAATACAATAAGTTGGTAAAGAAGAACACGGATAAAAGAAATGGGGATGAATACCTTCAATTTAATGATCTCTGCATCTCTCGTCCACTTGCCTTCGTCAACAAACTGAAAAGTCATTTTTTTAGGCCTCAACAGCTTGACCTTATCAATCCCCATCCTTGGATCATAGTAAGGATTTTTATCCGGATCCACTTCAAGTTCGGGTTTGAGAATTTGGAAGGCTTCTTTCTTTTGCTTGTTGATGTTTACCTAGGAGACAACCAACAAGTAAAAAATAAGTGAAACATGAAATATTGATGTTTTTCGTCTTTATAACTCTAACAAAAGAATCTGAGAATCTTTTTTTATTGTTGTAAAAGTAGTTATCGTACCTTGAGGGTACTCAAGCTGTTAACTTTCGGAACATTAACCAAATTGCCATGCTCATCTACTTCCCTGCCTAGTGCGTCCAGACGAAGAACGGGTGCTTTCGAAGGCTTGGGCTGAATGGTGACCTCCGGGGGCAATTGCCCTGGAAACATATTTATGAGTGGAGCAAATTCTGGATCTTGTCGAAATCCCATCTTTGCAGCTAGTTCCTGTGCACGTTTTACAGCTTCATATTTTTGTGCGGTGAGCCCAGGAAGATGAGGCAAACCACTCTGTGGGGGAATGTCAGGCGTTGGCGTGACAACAGGTAAAGCTGATGTGCTTTGCACAACTGAAACAGGAACCATGACAGGAGCAGATCCCGGAGGAACAGGCATAGGCGGCATACCTTTATTGGAGGAAGAAACATTAGCAGTCTCTTTATCACCTACCTGTGGACTCCCCTCTCTTGTTGATCTAGCATCGCTGTTCAACTACACGACATGAAAGAAGGAAAGTCAACTTCTCCGAAATATCACCCAAATTAAAAATACAAATAAATATAGCGTATAAAGCAACATGTCAACAATGGCATCTTAATAAGGCAAATATCAAAACCAAAGAACTTACTGAGGGAATATTCTTCATCCTTTCCGCAAGTTTTTTGTGCATTTGTAAAGATCTCTTAGCCTTTGCTAAAACATCAAGGGAGAGACCCCCACTCTTGCCGGCATTTGAAGCTGTCCCATCTGTACTAGATTTCCCAGGAACCTCATGAATTCTGTTAATATTAACTCCCTTATTTTCATTTGTCTTGGAAATCGAAGATACCTTAGTAGTAGAAGGATGATTACGGGCTTCCATTGTCTCGGGTGATATGCTAGATTGTGCAGTGGGTGGTCCAGTTGCAGCACCCTGCAATTACAATATTGCCACATGTTTATATGGACTCATATTTTGGGGTTACCTAAACAAAAGAATGTAGAACTTCGTTTAACAGCATGTGAAGACAACTAAAATTTCTTAGTTGATGACATTATTCCTGAAATCTTCCAAGTGATCCAAAATGATAAACAGGTAGAAAGATAAAAGTTAGTACAGCAGGACTAAGCAGCTGCAGGATGGAAATTGTTCATTACAATGCAAAATCCAATATCCAGCCCGCACTTTAATATGTAATGCAGCAAAGTTATAACAGGGAAAATGGGCTGAACAATGAATCTGAAAGTAGATGTACTATTACAATAACACAAAATACAAATATGTGTGGGCACCTTCCAACACTAGAAAACAACTCAGTAAAACATAACATTGAAAAGGGAGCATATATGATCAGAGTCTACACAAATGAGAGTCAATTCCACAACCACAAACAACACTAGAACTATGTGACTTAAAACAACTCCTTAAAAGACAACATTGAAAAGCGAACATACATGATCAGAGTCTACACATCTAAGAGCAAGTCCACGACCAAAAACAAATGATTTTGCTTCTAAAATATTCATGACATCACTCATTACAATGCAGCTAAAGAGAACACCAAGAAAAAAAAATGACAAAGCACCACGACAATACGTCTTATCATTACGTCAAGCATCAGCAGCATAGTTATGCATGAAACTACTAGGGTTTCCAGTCAAGTGACGACTCAGTAAACTAAGCATAATAAAGATATCATCCATCGCATTAAATTATTTTCTGTGGCTTTGTGAAATACTGCATCGTTTACACATTTACACTGTTGGTTGAAAATTTAGAGTGCCTTCAATCAGCACGAAGTGTTTCGAAAATATGTAGCTTACTCGTATAGTAACTGCACTTTATAACTATCTGCTGTTAGTCAATAACAGAACTCCTACGACACTCAGTTATATCCATAAGTAGAATGCACAAGCACATTAATACACATCTATTATAAGCACTCATTAACATAAATAGAAAAAAATGACTGTGTCAACATAAATAACAATCAACCTACCAAGAACAACGTTCTCCAAAGCCAAGGTCCAGAATTATCTTCAGGCATGGAAAGTTTACTACTCATAGATATTGGCCAAAGGCAATAAAACTATAAAAGCAATAGATCAGGATGCAGACCTACACACATTCAACTCATGTATGAATACACATATGTATACATCGAAGATAATTTTTAACTGATTCACGAAAATGAGTTACAAACAAATCAATCAATGCTTTAGCACAAGTAAATATGCAAAAAAAATTGATGAAGGACATAGTAATAGAAACTCACATTGGCAACCAACCCAGTTTCCGCACGCTTCCCACCATCACGCGACTCGTAATTTGAATCATTCTTCACAGACTTACCCTCAAATCCGAAACCGTCGGTTTCTTTCCCATCTATATCGTCCTCCTTAACCCTAACATCCTCAAATCTACGCTTCTCCCTTCCGCTTTCCTCGTAAACCCTAGTTCTCTTATCGCTCCTCTCCTCACTATCCCCCCTCTCCTTCCTCTTCTTTCTCTCCACCGAACGGGACCTCTCGCGCTCGCGGCGCACATCTCTCTCCCTGCTTCCCTCTCTCTCAGCTTTAGAATCCGAACGCCGGCGGTGTCGTTCGTCGGATCTGCGGCGTTCTTCGTCGTCCGCGTCTCGCTCCCTGCTTCCCTCTCGCTCGGCTTTGGAATCCGACCGGCGGCGATGGTGGTCGTCGGATCTGCGGCGCTCTTCGTCGTGGTGGTGATGGTGGTCTTTGGATGATCCGGATTGTCTTCGTTTACGGCTTGAATTTTCCTTTTCCATGTCGAAGAAATAGGGTTTCGTCGTTCTGTGAAGGTGATCTACTTGAGAGAGAGGAGAGAATTGCGGATATGTATATTAGATTTGATTTATACGCGACTGAAGCGGGTCGGGTTAGTAGTAACTACGAGAACCCGAACTGGGTAATTAAAACCGGCCCATATTCTATTAGCTTATTTTGGTTATGTTTGTAAAAAGAGCAAACTTCACTTTGCACCCCTAAATTATGGGGGGTGTCTCGCAAACACACCCCTTAATTACGAAATGTATCAAATACCCCCTTTTTTCGTATTTGGTACGTTTCGTAATTGAAGGATGTGTATGCGACATAACCCGAAATTTATAATGGAATTAAAAATAGTCAACATGACATGAGATGGTTAAGTGTTAACTATAATCAATTTTGGATAAATGTATTTGTAATTTTTCAAACTAAGAGGCTAGTTATAACTAACTACATATAATATTATAAGATATATGATAATTTACCAAAATAATATACGAAATAAATGAGAATCACCAAATATTATTTGATTTTAAGCTCGTGTCTCCGAATTTCATTCGTATGAATTTGAACGTTGGATCGGATTAAAAGAGAAAAAATGTATTTGGTATTAGTATTACATTCCCTATTCATTCATTCATGCATACCAATCATTCCGTTAGTCTATCCGAGGGCTCCAATGCCGCATTTGAATTTATGAATTATCCATGATATATTATGTAATTATATAATTTCAAATGTTTTAAAAATAAAATTTCGATCCAAAATTAAAATTAGATCAAATTTCTTTATAATGCAATATCCAATATAATATCTATTCCCAAACACCATAGTACAAATATTACATGATCTTCCATTTTGTATTCACAAATTCAAAAAATAAGATAGTCTCATATTACATTATCATAAATAATGCAGTATACTTGCTCAATTCGACCATATCTGGCCAAACGTATCAACACTCTCAAACGAGGCCTAACACGATTCAAATTAAATCAACGACTTCAATTTTTTTTTTCTTCTTGCAACTTACCGCCATTAAATACGTAAAACAACACGAGGAGCACACTCTAAATGTGTATAAACACCGCCAAAACATTTTCCTTGTTAAATTCAAATCTTATTAGGTTTTTATTTTGGCATTGTGTCATAGTTCTTCAATGGGGGCTTCTTCCTTAGCAGTTTCCTTTGACGATGTTTGGCTATGGCTGACTTTTAGTTCATCGTACTGCCAATATAATATACAGATGGTAACATAGTTAGCTCACGATAAAGGGTTATCAAACAATTTTCAAAAAAATCAATCACAATCAAGATTACAAAACTCTCTCACACAAACACAATTCCGACATAACGGTTCATGTTGAAGGAGATTTACTTAGGTGGTTTTCGCAAAAGCTTTTACATACATAAGCAGAAGATAGTGACTTCGAGTTAAGTTTAGGTATAAGTGCTTATTTCTTAAAGTTGGGGGTGTCTGCAAATACTATGAAAAATCGAATTTACGTAAGCCGGAGAGAAGTTATAGTGTTTCTGAATAAACTTTGTTTTTTAGCTTGCATTCGTAAACTATCTAAATTGGGCTAATAGGTGAAATTTGGATAAAGTAAATTTCAACGCACCTCTCGACATTTTTCTTGGTGCGCTGCCAAAAGCTCGTTGTATCTTGTCTGTAAATCCGAGAATTCAGCTTGCACCTTTTCATATTCAGCAAGAGTTGGACCGCCTAACTTTTGCTGGACGAACCTGTTAAACCACAAATACACGAGTGCTTCATTTCAGATTCATCATTTTGTCCAAGTATAGTAAGGCGAAGAGGATGCTCGAAAACTACAATTTAGATCGCAAATCCCATCAACTTTATCTTGTTTATTTTCCCCAATCTTATCAATAACACAGTGAAATTGGCTTGCTTTTCACAAACTAAGTAAACACACAATCATACGCACAAGCAACCACTGGAAAAATATGTAGTACAGGATTATGCTGGATTATTCATTATTGACTTACTCGACAGCTGAAGAGGGTTTGTCGTTCTGCTCATACAGTGCCACGAGAACTACAGTTAAATGGAAAGAACAAAAAAATTGTTACTATGACAAACACGGAGATACAGAGACTTAATATCTAGCCACAGAAAGAAGGTAAAAAAATATATATAACCTTTTGTTAAAGCATCGAGAACTCCACTGGATTCCAGGTATTTTCTAAACGCCTCCTTCTTTGCTTCCTTTTCCTATAACAAAAGACGACTCGTGAGAACAATAGAAACTAAATGACTGAAAAGGAAAACTGCATCAAAGCATAGGCACAAGTAATCGGAGATGTGCACGAAACCATTCAACAAACGACACGGAAATAATTATTCATTTGTACATAATGAAATAAACATTACAATATATCTATTCATATGTGTCAACGAATGTGCAAATATTGTATTATCAGACGCCAACTGCACACAAGCTAGTAAAATGAAACACCGATTTATCTCAAGAAGTGTTTGTCTGAGAGATCAATGTGCAGCAACAGTTCTATATTACATTCTCTCATTTTAAATTTTTAAATTTCGTAGAGGCAGCAAAACCATTTCACGATATCAATCAACCAACAGGTCGAAACCCAGCCATATAAACCACGCACAAATTTTCTTGTAATGGTTTCTTCAAATTACTATTGCTATCTTATGAACTACGATAACTTGTACATCCGGATCGTATAATTTTCAATAAACGAAAAAAAAGAAAATAAATAAATTGGTCTTATGATCCAAAAACCATGTCAAGACAAACATAGCAAGTATAAAACAGCAAATCGAACGTTACAACATCTACTCGAATCAATCATAAATATCCAATAACCAAATTCCAAGATCAAATCATCAAATGTGAAATAACCACACATGAACTCAAAATTAATTTGACAAATTAAACCCCACATTGCAGAATTTGGATATTCAACAAATAAAAAGAAAAGTTCAAAATTACGAGAAGATAAACATTTATTTCTTCAATATAATGCAAAATAAATAAGCTACATTCCGCAAAACTCTATAGAGACTCAGATCCGCAATTTTCACGAAATTAAATGGACTAAAAATATAAATAAATATATTATATATATACCATTTCGGAATGTTTGCTTCTTCAGCTAGATTCAATCTCCGTTTCTCAGCAGTGTGTGTATATGTGTGTGAAAGAGAGAGATTAGACGAGTTTCTGCTTTCGTTTTCAGAGCTGCTGCAAAAGTGAGAAGTGTGGGTGAAAAGTCGGTGAAGAAGACGGTTGATTTGTTAATTTCTATTTGCCTTTTTTATTTTTCCCTCTTATTTTCAGACCCGACCCGAGATCCGTGACCGGATCCGTTAATTCAACCCGATCCACTACTGCAGATATTTTCAGCTTAACGTATATACGTGTACAAAAGTTTTCCTTAATAATATAGTTAAAAATGAAAAAGATAATTAGAAATAATATACCCACAAAACCCCCCAAACCCCCAAAACCCTACTTCTTAAAACCCCTGTCTCCATTTCTCAACTCTCTCACTGTATTTCTCACAGTTCAGAAACAGAGAGTTAGAGAGAGAGAGAGAGATAGAGAGAGAGAGAGAGTCTGGATTATTATCACCCACCGTTACCTCCATTTCCATGGATTAATGAGCTCAATGAAAATCTGAGTAAAATTGATTATGGCAAAAAAGAAGTCAAATAACAGGCGGCGGAAGTGTAATCAGGAGGCCGGAGATGGAGTGAATTCCGGTGGAATTCATAATTCGAGGAGCAGCGGCGCCGAATTGAAGGGGAAGAGCAAGCAGCGGCTATTTATGAACGACAGTGATTACAGGCTGCGGCTGCAGGAGGTTCTGTACACTCCGGAGCACATTGTCACCAAAATTTTCCGCAAGGAAGGTCCCCAGCTCGGTGATCAGTTCGATTCTCTCCCGTCCAATGCCTTCTCCGCCGGTAAGTTATGGAAATGTGTTGGGTGGTTTATTCGTTTCATTCAGATGATGACTGAGTTTGAAATTTTCCGGTGATTATACTTTCACTTCCATGGATGTTGTATGTTTAGTTATCGAGTGAAATCAATTATCTGTGAATCAAATAGCCGTGGTCATCATAGTCTGCATTTAAATCACTTTTGTCTTTGAATGTTTTCCTTTTCCTTTGCACGATTGCAATTCATCCCCAATTTGTTTTGCCTTTCTCTCTTCTCGTCAAGCAGAAAAATGCTAATAAATAAAACTGTAAAATGAAAACTCAAAACAGAAGGGAAAAACCATGACAGATAATCTCGACATTTTTGTCGCAGTTGTTCATCTATCTTTTCGGTTAGTACGCTTAATTTATATTTTGTGTGAAAATATTTTGCCTGATGTTTGTTCTGTGATCACCAGATCCCAGAAAGTCACATCATGAAGATAACCAGCGTCCCCATAAAAGGAGAAAGGTATTGAATCCATAATCTTAACTGTTTTTTTTTTTTGGTAAAAAAGGCTATTTCGTGTTTCCTCACTTTTTTTCCTTTCATGTTAGGTTTCTACACATGCCATTTTAGACTACCAAACTTGTTGTGAGAACAATTCACATGTGAAGAGACGTGGTATTGGAAAAGGCCCAATGACCGCAAGTGGTGCTCCAATAAAGAAACATGGCATGGGTAAAGGTTTAATGACTCAGAAGGGTGTTAACGGGAAAACCCATGGCATTGGTAAAGGTTTGATGACAGCTGCGCGAGGTACAAATCCCGATGCAAGTGATTTTCCTTATGTTGCTTACTGCAGGCAGAGCGCCACTCAGAAGAAGAAAAGAGTACAACCACGAGAATCTATTATGGTTTGCATCTAACCCCGCCTTTTCAGTCGTCTTCTGACAATTATATATCCTTGTCTTGAACCAATAAAGCTAGTTAAATGAATATTATAACAACTCTTTATCAAATGTGGCAATTTCAATCCTCGAGAAGGAAATGAAATTTAGTTATTTCTCATGTAGAGAAAATTGGCAAGCAAAGAAAAGGCGAAGAGGAAAGCTCCTCTGAGAAGTAGAAAGGTAAAGTTTGCTTCAGCTATATTGTATTTGCAACAAAATCTTTGGAATCACAGATCTAGCTAATCTTATACAACCACGCTATAATTGCAGGTGGAATGCCAGAAAGTTCAAAAGCGGAAGAAGCCTCGTAATGAAAATTGTGAACTTGCTCTTGAAGATGTAAAATGTCTAGAAAACACAGAACAGTTTGCGATGTTACAGGAGGATGAGGAACTAGAGCTTAGAGAATTACAAGCAGGACCTAATCCGTTATCTTGTTCTGCTCATTTTGCAACCAATGATTCACATGGTTGTTCACTTTGCAAAGGTTAGCCAGAGCATTCTCTTACTGTTTAATTCATTTCTCAACGTTTGTCCTGTTAGTGATTTGCCTTAGTACATAAATTATTGGCCCGGCTGAACCTGATGTGCAATTTCGCTCATCCTTCTAATAATATTCTGTATTTTGATAGATTTGCTTGCCAAGTTCCCTCCAAATTCTGTCACAATGAAGCTACCATTGTCTGTGCAACCTTGGGCTTCCTCGCCTGAGCTAGCGAACAAACTTTTTAAGGTATCTGAACAAGTCTTTTTGCGCTATGATTATGCCTTTTAGTTGACAGTTGATGCAAATTGATTTGATATAAGATTATCCTTTTCCTCAATCTGTCAGAGATATATATCTGATCTTACAATTAGTAAATTCCATAATCCTGGAATTTTTTGATGAACCCTATCGCACTTGAACTATTATCTAAAACTCTATCTCCAGTTCAGCTAGTGATATTTAAAAATGGGATAAAGTAGCATCTGATGTCTATCCCATATTTTATCATCCACTGGGTAGTTAAATCTTATATCCTCATTACGTTCTTTTTACAGTTTCTCTAATGGCCATTTTTTCCTAATTTTCTCATATTTGTTCATTGAAGGTATTCCATTTTCTTTGCACATATGCTGTAACAATCAGCATATATTCGTTCACCTTGGATGAGTTTGCACAAGCATTTCATGATAAGGTAAGTTGACGTGGTTGCTATGTTATGTTCATTTACTTGTGTAGTTTGGCCCATTAATTTATTAGGCTCCTTGTCTTCAGGATTCATTGTTGCTTGGGCAAGTCCATCTGGCCCTTCTGAAACTGCTTTTGTCAGATGTTGACAAGGAGCTGAGTAGAGGGTTTTCCTCTCATGCTAGCAAAAACTGCAAGTTTTCGAGTTTGCTTCATACGGTGAGTATGTCTAAGTCATGCTTTTATTCATGTAGATTATTTGATTGATCTCTCAAACTCGCAACTTATTAGAATATGTATGATGTTTCTGGTGTCAGTGAACTTTTATTTGTGCGCTGTCACTTAAATTTTTAAGAGGTTATTGGTTACAAAATTTGCCAAAAACTAAAGACATGTCTTCAACATGCTGGTTACGAATTTTCTTGGAACCTCTCTTGTTATGCCTGATCAATAGTAGTTCATATAGCAATCTGCATACAATTGGTTTTTGACAACCTAGAAAATATGTTACACATTTGAGTCGTATGTTATAGCGCTGCTTTAACTTTCTATTTATCATGGTTTCACAGCTTGAAAACCATGACATTGCTCTAGAGTTCTGGCAGAAGTCATTGAACTCCTTAACATGGACAGAAGTACTACGTCAGGTATTGGTTGCAGCTGGATTTGGTTCTAAGCTTAATATGACCAGGACGGCAGTTTGCAACAAGGTACTGAATTTCCTGTAAGCATGGTTTATCTTCTAATTTGCAATCATGGTCTCGCATCTCATGCTATGTAGTTTTTCCCATCGCATAATTCAGCATGTAATTTGGCATTCCTCTCTTTGTTTTTCGTCTCAAACTGTCATATATAAGACCCATGTACAAATAACCTGGGTACAATAGAGAAACCAGTTAAAGGCAGCGCATTACTAATGCTTTTCATAATTGTGCATAATTGCACGTACTTGAACAACGGGATTCTGTCTTTGATGTTTAACTTTTAGTTTTTGTAAATAAGATCCGTGGCTGATGATTTGATTAGAGATGTATAACATGAAACAAAAGATCATGACCATCAGATTCATTTGAGGAAATATTTCTTGATATTGCTTGTTTTTTGTTCTCTAGGAAGTCAGTCTTATGGATAAGTATGGATTAAGTCCTGGTACATTGAAGGGAGAACTATTCAATATATTATCGACCCAAGGAAATAGTGGAATGAAAGTCTCAGAGTTGGCAAAATCTTCAGTTGTAAGTCTATATTTTCCCTGTTGATTTTAGCAAAATCTCATTTGACATGATGAATTATCAGCGATTTAGATTTTATTAGCACATACTTAGTGGGGAGTGTTTGTTTTGCATGAAGATTGTTGAGTTGAATCTCACGGATACACTCCACGACCTAGAGGATTTAATCGCCTCAGCTCTCTCGGGAGATATAACATTGTTCGAAAAGATTTCCTCATCTGGATATCGTTTACGAATCCATGCAGCTGAAAAAGAATCTGAAGATTGTGAAGACATGGGGAGTGGAGATGACATTTCTGAAGTCACTGGTGGAAATGATTCTGATTATGAGTCTGGGGATTCGAGTCCATCCAATATTGATGTCAATAAATGCAACACTAATGTTATGTCAGTTTACGATGAAATTGATGAGAGCCATCCTGGAGAAGTGTGGTTGTTAGGACTAATGGAAGGTGAATATTCAGATTTAAGCATTGAAGAGAAACTCAGTGCCCTAGCAGCATTGATTGATCTACTTCGCGCTGGATCCAGTGTCAGAATGGAGGTAGTCCCTCTTATTGTTTGGTTGGCCCCTTTATTCCCTTGTATTGTTACTGCTTCTATTCAGAGCGCGTACTCTGCAATCGTTTGTTGCTTATGCTTTGCGATTTAGTTGATAAATGATTTAATATCTGCAATTTTTTTATAGGATCCCTTGTCATCAAGTGCGGAATGTCTTCCCAACAGCCACCAGCATGGTTCTGGTGCAAAAATAAAGAGATCGATGGTGAAGCAGTGCAACCCCCTTGGGGTATTGGGAAACCTTGGTGGGCAAATGTCTAATGGAGCTGCTGTAAATGCACCAGAACCAATTGATTCTTTGGTTCCTATGTCAAAAATCGGCGAGGAAGAGAAGTATGCTAGTATGAATAAAATTGCAGAGCAAATGGAAGCAGAGAGCTATATACATCCTATGCAGTCTATCTTTCTGGGTTCTGATCGTAGGTACAATAGATACTGGTTATTCTTAGGCCCTTGTGATGATTATGATCCTGGACACAGGAGGATTTACTTTGAATCTTCCGAAGATGGCCACTGGGAGATGATTGATTCTAAAGAGGTAACAGTTCACGACTTTTTTTTTTAATTACTATATATTTTTTTTAAAGACACTAACGTAACTACCACCCCAATTTTGTGTAGGCTTTGTATACTTTGTTGTCGGCTCTGGATCGCCGGGGTGTGCGGGAGGCTCGGCTTATAGCTTCCTTGGAAAAAAGAAAATCAACTCTAAGCCAAACAATGTCTAATATGCCAGATGATGGTGAAAATAGGCAATCTGGATTAAATACTTCTAGGGAAGCTAGTTCCTCACCGGTGTCTGATGTAGACAACCGATTGAACTCGAGTGAGATGCAAAATGAACTCCCTTCTTCTACTGGCGCAACAGCAATTGCTGAATCTGGGAAGAAAGGAGAACAGCTGGCAGAAATATCTCGCCGCTCCCAATCTTTTGATACATGGATATGGAAGTCATTCTACTGTGAACTCAATACGGTTAAGCATGGAAATAAGGCTTATCTTCACTCACTCAAAAGATGTGATCAATGTCAGGACTTGTATTGGAAAGATGAAAAGCATTGTAGAATTTGCCATACAACATTTGAGCTTGATTTTGACCTGGAGGAAAGATACACCGTTCATTCAGCAGTTTGTCGGGCCAATATTGATGTTAATAAGTGCCGAAGGAAAAGAGTTTTATCGTCCCAATTGCAGGCACTCAAAGCTGCAATCTATGCAATTGAGGTGAACTGCCATAAATCCAAATTATATCTTCAACTCAAATGTGCAGTTATACATACAACTTAAGGACTATAGTTTCAGTTATATAGTTTCCTAACGTGTGTTTATGAATGTTTACTTTGAGTGATATCTTTTAAGCTTCAATTTGGACTCTATGACGACTTATCTTATATGAATAGCTCTTTCGTTTTACTTATTGCAGTCAGCTATTCCTGAAGATGCCCTGTTAGGTTCTTGGAAAAGATCTTCTCATAATCTATGGATAAATAGGTTACGACGAGCCTCTAATTTGAGAGAGTTTCTACAGGTGATGAAAATTGTATTTATCATTGTTTTCTCTCTGACAGCGGGTTATGTTTATGGAATATGTTCATATTTTTCCCTTCATATGATTTTTTAGGTCCTTGCTGATTTTGTTAATGCTATCAATGAAGACTGGTTTTATCAACACTATAGTGCCTCAGACGAAATAATTTCAAACTTTTCAACCGTGCCGCAAACATATTCTGCAGTTGCACTTTGGTTGGTAAAATTGGATTTGTTGGTTGCTCCTCATGCCGAAAGCGGCCATTCTCAGAATAAACCTGAAATGGTTAACAGAATGGAAGGTATGTAATTTTTCCAAATCTGTGATCCATTTCGATAATCCTTTCAGTTCTGCAGTGGCTCCTAACAGATTGTAATCTTTGCTCTATCCTTTTTTTTTTAAACTTAATGACATGCGCGTGATTGGTCTTTTTCACATCAGGTACCCTTGTCACCAGTTAACAGACTCCACCTGGAACGGAGACAAAAACGAGAGGTACTATTATGATCATTGTATGATCCAGTTTAGTTTTGAACAAGCAGTTTCGAGCATTCTTTTCAATTCTGAAGAGAATCATAGAGCATGTGCGATTATTGTTTCTACAGCGTTAGGCGGGGGGTTCCTTCAGTTTTGATTCAAAAATTTTGATCGAGCGTTAGTGTTTGTGTGTAAATATTATTCTGTGTCGGTTACACAGACAGTTGTTTTATATTAGATGCAGTGGAACGAGAAGAAAACGTTCTTGATTGTAAATGAAATTAGTTAACAAAACTTGCAATAAGGAATGCTGGATCTCAGTTCATGCCCAATTTGAATTGAGTTTAAAAAAGTATTGGACATTTACGGGTGCAAGACTGCATACGAGAGACCAATGAATTTATTGTATAAAAAATACTAGCTTGAAAATTATAGATTGTTAAGAGAAACATAGGTGATAACACTTGGAATTGGAATATTATTTGGATCGAAATTGGAATATATATAAGATTCCGATTTCGATCTGATTTTAAATTCCAATAATTCCGTTTTTTTTTTCCAAATATTTCTATCCAATTTCAATAATAAAGCCTATAAAATAAAATTTAGAACAGATGGAAAAATTGCAATAAATCCATGGGAAGCAAATACCAACTAGCAGTGAAATAGAGAGAAATTTTCAGACACTATTTACGTAAAGCTTAACAAATCATTCATAAATAACTAATGCTTAACCCCAATTTATAACTTAAAAGGCAACCTGAAACAACACTACTGTCAAAACTAGCCGAAAAAAATAACCTCCAAAAATGGGAGCAGAAAGTTAATCTGAATCTTGGATATCTGGGGCAGGGAATCTACGGAAACGAGCAAAGTTTCTAAAATAAGATGTATCCTTATCATGTGGAATCATCGATCTCTTTCTCTTTCGAGAGAACCCTTGCTCGTAAGTTGCATCAGACAAGAAACCCATGCTTCTTCCATTCTTACTGCAGCTACTCTCTTCAGCAAACCTACAATATCACGGAAAAGTATACACGTGCGTTAAAGCATTGAAACAAGGGCATTTCTCAAAAAAGCACAGATATGTGGAACTAAAATCTAGTTTAATAGGTCTGCCATTAACGAAACCTTACGAAAAATGATAGAGTAGTTCTTACCTTTCACGAATAATCTTGAATGCTTCTTTTGTTGCGTATGGTAAACCTGTCTTTGGATCACGGTAACTGCATTACCGAAGGACGTGTATTTTAGAATATATTTTAGAATATATTCATGCTTTGGATAGATCTCATACCGAAGGACGGGCATAGGTAAAAAGAATGAGGTGCGGGAACTTAATGCTCCATTAGGATCTTGAATTTGAGTGACAAAAGTATTTTCCTTTCGGTTTTGAAGGAAAATGAGAAGAAAAAAGGTTGAACGTCTACACATTTAGGAAGTTGTTGATTTGAATACTATGTATTTATGTTAAAAAAAACTAGGAAAACTGGTTTTCATCAATCTCACATTTCCGGCTTTTTTTTGACTTTCATCTCAATCCAAATAAACTGTCAAAGAAATAAAAATATTGACGTTGAATATCCGTTTGTAACAGCCCCTGGGGGCTGGGCTATAAACAGATGCTGCTCAAGAATAGCTCATGTTGGCCATGGAAAAGCTCGTTCATGTTTGTTCATAAGATTAATGAGTTGAACGGGACAACACTTCACGGTGTTTTAGCATATTAAGCTTCTCAGCATTTTTCTTATATAGATATGCTCATTACTTAACTTATACACGTATTAATGGTTTTGCTTGACGATATAATAAACTACAGTTTAGCAGGTAAAGCTCGTCTACCGCTTTAATGCAGAAAATATGTACAAAAGGCAGCAGAGGCTTTACAAGCTTTTCACAAAAATAAAATGAAACTTAAAAATAAAATATAAAAGTTTCAAAGCTTACATTGCTGGGAGCCCAGTCACAGCACACACTGCTTTTTCTGGATCTGTAAATATGTGGATACATCAAATCAGGTGCTGTAAGTAGTTGTCAATATTCGTAAAAATGGTAGTGATATACGAATGCTGATAAATTTAATCGGTACACCTATCTCTAGCAAATCCAGGAGTTCCGCACTCACAGATGTGGCTGTCACTATACAGTGTGTATATATTCAATTACATTTCAAAACGTGACTGTTAACCTCTACAGACGCTGGCAAATAACTACGAAGCTATAAATAGCAAGAAGCCTGCTTAAAGGCTAAAAAGCAATGTGCAAACATAATCAGGATAGAGCAGAGCATTTTACTTACATGGGGTAGATGTCGTTGAAACCCCCGACTCAAATGATGATCCATTCATGAAACCGAGATACGAGCAACCTGGAACAAATATTATTTACATTTTCTACCAATAAATTGTTGAACGAGGAACGAGATAGGAAATAATTAGAAATATAAACCAACAAAAATACTTTTAACCAGAAGATGCTGTAAGAGGACAGTGAACATTTAAGATGTTTAGAAAGAAGAGAGATAGCTCACCATCTTTAGAAAGATATCGTATCTGAGGGCCACTGTAAACTGCTTTATGTACTATTGCTCTTTTCTTAACTTCTTCTTCTCTTGCTAATACCCTTTCCAAATTTCTCAAATTCATAATCTCTGCAACGGTAATCACATAATGCAATTAGAAAGTTTTTTGAACATAACATACCACTACATTATAACAAGATAAAAACAATGACAAGAAAAATGTCATGAGAAACACCTGTTTGAGCTGCTTCCAGAAGCATCTCTTCTTGGGACATCCTCTTCTCCTCGCCTTCCTTTTTCCTTTTTATCGGCTGAAATTTGAGAAAATATTCACCAGTATGACAGAGATGTGAAAGTAATTGCTTTGAAACGTTACTAACTTAAATAGGTTAAAACAAATTGCAACAAAAATGAGTTAGTAGTGCCTTCCAACAAGTTTTTACAGAGCAGAGGATTTTGAACAAAAGAATACGCTTTTAAAGAAACAAATCATAAATCATAATCGATCTCATGCCCCTAAAATCTAAGTTAAGTAGTGTGTCTCTTTTAGTAAAACATAACGAATAATCATCACTGTATAATATAATACCTTCATTGTAGCTTGCAATGCTGCACGTATTGCATCCCTCTCAGCTTGCCTGATAACCACAGAAGTTCTGGTTGATTTTCTAACACTTTTCTCACCCTCGGCATCATCGGGTACATCATGATGTTCTAAAGGAGTCAACTTCTCTGGAGATTTCTCATCTTTAGAAGCACTTCCGGCCTTAGAAAGCACCTTAGTTTTCTGGGTTTTCTTCTTCTTCGTCGATGCTTTTCCTGGAAATATTAGCCTCTTCTTTGTTCTTTTACTGTCCCAAAGAAACAAATAAATAAAAATAAATAAAAATGAGGGGCAAGTCTTACAATCAGATCAAATTATTTCCTATTGAGTAAGAGAGAGTTAAAACCTCTCATCAGGTTCATTTTCCGTTTGTTCATCTGCCTCAGGTTCCTGGTAGCATAATACAGAAAGTCGACATAGTAAGGGAAACACTGAATGCGAGAACGAAAACACCTCTGAAAAAAATTTAACTTACATCTTCATCAAAGTCGCTATCAAATACATCAGCAACCTCCCCTTCATCCTCATACTCTACATCCTCTGCTTCCTGTAAATATATGCACGAAAAAATCTCGTAAATGATCAAAATCGTGTACTACATATCTTATAAGATAGAGCCGTCCAAAAACATAAAATTCCGACATTAAAAGGCAACATTAGTCAGCATCATGTTCAACAAAATAAGTACAATAGAACACATATATTGAAAGCAGAACAAGCATATTCAGTTGTACCTCTTTGAGAGCATCTTGATTCCAAAAAAGCTCGTCTTCTTCAACCTCGTCATCAAGCAACTTTGTCATCCTATCACATTAATTTTTGGTTTCATTTTTTGGCCCAACTGCGCGCAATATGAAAATTCTGAGTAGTAAAGTAATAGTTGTTTCTGCATACCGTTTGCCTCTGGTGGCCCGAGCTGTGCGATCAAGGAAGGCATGCTGCTGCTGCGCCTCTTCTTTGCCGCCCTCCATATTGAACAAACACCCACAGAAAAAAAAAAAACTGTGTCGGAAAATCACAAAATTCAATAGATTTCAAACTCTAATCAATCGGACTGCGTCACTGCAGCATTTCGTCGAACACGATTCATACAATTCCGTACGGCGGATGGAACGACAGTCACTCCGTGAAAGAGCTAACGTTCGCCATCGCTTCTCTCTCTCTCTCACACACAAAGCACACGCGCCGGAAAAGAAGAGAGAGAAAGGTAGAAATCAAAAGAGACTTCGATTTTACTGTAGTTGTTTGAGCTTCATGAAGAAAGATCTCCAGAAAATAAATTAAGGGGAAGCTCAATTAATTTAGGAGTAATTCATTTTACATTAACGGATGGGCTTTTGGTTGAAAGCTTTTGTAAATTGGGGTTGGGCTACACCATTAATTAAAGCTGGATTTTATTTAATGGACATGATAAATACAGCACGTCTTTTACTAAGTGTAGGACATTTTATTTTATAAAATTAATATTTAGCATTCACCCCCATCTTTTTCTTTCAAATATTTATTTTACGTCTACAACATACGATTTTTTTTCTTTTTTGGAAATTGCGCAAGTTTTTCCAGATCGAATTTTCCCACCATTTCTTTCGTGTTTTTAATTCATAAAGATCACGCAAAAACTCTTCGGCCTAAGTAGAAATAAATTTAAATATAAATTATATAACAATAAAATTAATTAAAGAGGTAATAGATGGGTGGAAAATTTATTTAAATTACTTAAAATTATTTTGTATTGATTGTTTTCGATAAAAAAAAAACATATTTAGTCAATTGAGGTATTTTTAACTTTCTATTAGCATTTCCTACTATTTAACTACTAGTTGAGGTAAATCACCCAGAATTAACTTTTTATTTAACTGTCCAAAATGCCCTTTGTTTATTGAACACTGATATAGCTATAGTTTCAAATCTCAATTAATTGCAATGTAGTATCTGAATTATGTACACGTTCTTGCAGTTTTGTGTTAAAGAAATTAAAACATCTCTTGGCAAATTCTCAAACTAATTTGCATATATTTACCAAATGTTTAAACACGAACTCGTTCAGGAAACTAAACCGTAAAATGATATTTACTTCGGCAAAACCAGTCACGTTCAAATCAACGCTACTTTATATTCCGAACGCATAGAAATCGCCTGCAACCAGAAAACAAACAACAAAAGGTTGTTAAGAGCATAAAATTTTCAGGTCAAGATAGTTTATTCGCAAAATTACGATGACACAAACTCAAAGTAAATCTTATGAGAATCTAATCGTATAATCAACCTAGGGGACGACCAATTCACAATCCCCCGATAAGCAAAAATTAAAACTCGTTTTTTTTTCCCATAATTACCAACTCGAGAAGTCATTGCACCAATCAAATAAAATCTAAGAAATATTTAGTTCAACATGAGATATAAGTAAAGTAACATATGTATCAAGTTCAAAATTATCGTTCAACAACTTAACCATATCTAATGGCAATTCTTCGTTCATGTCCTCAACACAGCTTTATATATTGTATCTATTATTCCTAACAGTATGTTCAATCTTAGGTACTATTAATAAAAAGGATTATATATGAACAATGGAAGGAACCAGATAACATTATAAAACACAAATCATCTTTAAAAATAAAATAAAAAATGCAGCAAAAATCAAATTGTAAAAAACTGCATGTGCATCAGAACTTCGTACAAGCAATGTTTGGTAAAAACACGCGGTTCTTGATTAGTCTAAAAGCTTGGTGTAGGCTTCATTGCTCGTCACACGGGTTTTCTACTTGATCTTTGATAACTCATCCAACGGGTTTAATTTCGAAACTTGTCGTCTAGATACAATATTTTCTTCAGCTGACCAACTAAAAACAGCTAAACACCTTACGATAAAACTTAACCATCTAAGGGCAATTCTTAGTTCAAAGGTGATATACATATACTTATAATTGTATCTAATATTCCTAATAGTATTTTCAAAGGTAGAACATATTGTTATAAGAGAATGAATACATTGTTGGACTCGACGATGTATATACGACGGTTAAAAGAGACAAACTTCACTACATATAAAGAACACAGAATCATAGATGTGGAGCATCAATGTATATGAAGAAACGAAAGGAAAGAGATGTAGTAACGTAATTACCTAGCAGCAATCAGGTGAAACTGCAGGTGCACCGGTAATGGGTGCGGTTGCAGGAGCACCGACAACACGAATAGATTTAACTTTAACACGCGTGATCCCGTCGTAAATACGTGCTCTGAACGTCAGCGCGTCGGCGTCGTTTTGATCGGGAAGCTTAGCAGTAAACTTAATACGGTAGAAAAAACCGGCACAGAGCATTTTGGATGCCCTGATAATTTCAACCACACTGTATTTCATGGGCTACACACACAAATCCATCCACAAGTAAATAAAAAATTATAAAAATAAAAATCAATTAATCATTAACCCTAATAAAAATAAAAAAAAAAAAAAAAATCACATACGTTGCTTTCATTGTAGGAAGCAATTGCTAGGTCGGCAAAACGTTTGACCTCGCCGGGAAATTCTCTGCCGGAACCTCGGGAATAATCGTACATGAAACCTCCCTGTATGTATATATATATATATATATATATATATATATATATATATATATATATATATATACATATAGGATGAATCGGAGCAGTGAATAATTAGAAGAAAATAACAAAAAATAAAAGAAATTAGGAAGAAATTGAAAAGGGGGAGGAATTTAATTAATTAATTAAGTAATGAATGAATGAATATATACCTCTGAGAAATGACCAGTGACGGGATATACATTTCTGGGATTCCTGTCTGAAACTCTCATGCCGTTGATCCATAACCTGCGCCTCTTCTTCTTCTTTGTTTCCGATCTCTCTTCTCTCGATTCCATACCGCTCAATTCCAAAGATTTCACGCCTTCGCCGGATATACCACAATCCATCTCTTTCTATCTCTCTCGATCTCTCGAAAGCCCTAATCCGCTTATTACCCTTCCCTTTTTCTATTTTCTTTAGCGATAAAAAAATAAAAAGGAAAGGGTTAGCGAGGTGATGGGCTGGATGTTGATGAAACCCAATATGTGAGATTTTACATCTTTCGGTAAATTACAGGCACATCCTCAAGGTGATGTCAAATTATAAAAGTAATCCCCTTTTATTGAGATAATTACAATAAGTCGACTGTAGTACTCCCCATTTCACAAAAACCCTTGCAGTTTTAAACTATTTTCTACTTATTATTATTATTTGTATAAGGATATATATTTTGAATAATAAATATTTATTTAATTGAGCTTAATTCGGATTGAGAAAAACTCATAATTAATTATACTCGGCTCAAATAAAATTGAGTTTATATATATAGATAATCGGGCTTCAGATAAAACCAAATTGAAAATTGAAAATTATTATTGTTTATTCCAAGTAAGATATTTTCCTAATCATTCATCAACGAATTTATAATTTGTGTGTCAATCAACGAAAGAAGAAACTTATGTTATGTACACAATCAATCAATCAATCAAGCCAATTCTCAAAATAGACCTTATACATGCAGTAGCTAATTTGTTACTCATATAATAGCAATATTTCAAAGAAGAGCATAAGGGGAAAACCATCTGTTTTAGTTCACGAGAAAAACGTAAAACGTTGTAACTAGCTATATACAAGAAAATTAACTTGTTGCCGGTCGAAAAATCGTCTAATCAGAAACGAGGCGTACTCCGAGAGGGTAGACTGTCGGTGTGACGAGATCGATAGAGACTTTGGCGTATCCATCTACTCCCCACTTGCGCCCCCACGAGTTCTTGATTATGTAGTACTCTACACCATCCGCATCCACACCATAACCTGTTATGACTACCGCATGGTTTACTTCAGGCTCCTTGTCACCTTCTACAAGTACATGTTTCATGTATATTTTGCCCTTAAAAAAAATAAAAAAAATAAAAAAAAAAAAGAAATTATTAGATTTGTGGAATTATATTAATTACTGAATATATGTACTATATATTAATTATCATCAAGACTTACTGCAGTTGCATCTCCTCTCCATCTTTTAAGACTCTCAAATGGTCTAATTCGTCCAGCTACCGGATGCTTACGGATGACGGCTTTAATTCTTTCCAATGAATACTTCTCCATGCTATGAACTGCATCGATCGTGATTCTCGTTTGCTGGTATATATATATAGTAAATAAACAAGTAAAAGACCGTGAGATAAATTATTACGTGCGTCGTCGTCCCTGATATATGATTGGATTAATTTAAAGCACTTACTTTAGGTATGTTCTCGATATTAACGTTTTGACGCCTCCGAACGAAAGGGTAGTTCGCCTCCAAGGCTATTCCATGCATTCTGATATAGTTGAGCCCCAAGAGGACACTAGCCCCACAACACCCGTGATTCCATACTCGATTGCGTACATATCTGGGATATCGTGCATGATCTACCATATCGATCAGCTCCTGAGGAGCTGCTCGGTGTTTATGGTACTTTATGTCAGCCTGCCTAAGCTGGTAACTGACGAGATCTGTGGCAACCAGAGCCCAACAACAAGCTGCATTCGTAAATTAAAAAAAGTTTCAGCTACGTAGGATTATATTTTTTCATGCAATTTAAATGGTTAGACGACGACGTAATTAAAGAATTATGGAAAAGATCATATTACGTACGTACCACGGCCACCTTGCTGTCTGACAGGCAACTTCATCCGAAATTTATCGTGCCAACTTAATAGATGCTCAGTCCGGCCTCCTCCGACGTTGATCCGCATCATTACCAATTCGTCCATGTCGTCATCCACCATGTGGAGACCGATCTCTGCCCACTTATTAACATGAAATATTCTGTGCATGTTTTGTGCCATCGATCTTAATTTGCAACCTGCTCATGATCATTAATGGTGGCTGTAATTGATCGTTTATATATTTAGATCACAATAATCTTGATAAATAATTTTAAAAAATCCACCATTAATATCATTTCTTTCACGACAGCAACTATTATTTCTCTCTCTCTCTCTCTCTCTCTCTCTCTCTCTCTCTCTCTCTCTCTCTCTCTCTCTCTCTCTCTCTCTCTCTCTCTCTCTCTCTCTCTATATATATATATATATATATATATATATATATATATATATATATATAACATAGTAATATTCTACAAAAACAAGTTCCCCCTTTTAACTTCTTTAATTATTATACATATTCTTGCCTGGTTCTTCGGAGCCGTACGTACACACAGTTGCCCTAGTGGCAACGGAAGCCAAGAAACAAGAAATGAGTAACATTTCTAGGGTTTGCAAATCACCGTTAAAAACTGTACCTGGTTCGTAATTAGGTATCGTGCGAATGGACGATCTTGATCGAAACTTTGCCAAATCTCCAAGAAACTGATTGGGTGTTTTGTTTTCTTAGGGACGACGAAGGAGTGTGTGTGTGTGTGTGTGTGTGTGTGAGTGAGGATGAGAGAGAATTTGCTATTTCAACGTCAGAAGAAAACTAAATGGGAGATGAGGGATGTACTCTGCTCAACGTCGCAGAAAAGAGGGAAATAAGAATTGCAACGGAAACAAAAAAATTTAAAGAAGGAAAGCCAAATATATATATATATATATATATATATATATATATATATAAGAGGGAACTGAAGAGCAGAACTGGAAAAGAAGAGGGAAACGAAAACAACATTGCTATTTCCACATATTCAAACACTATCGTCCACGTGGACTTCTTTTTCTTTTTTATTGGGTTAGAGTTTATTATTTTTAGTTATTTTATATTTATATATTTAATTTTTTTTTTTAATTATTTTATTTCTACCTTTTGTCAATTGTAAAGCGTGTCTATGTATATATACCAAATAATAATGAAATATATATTTCACTCAAGAAATATCCAGTTTCCACCCCTCAAGTTTGTAACGATTCCACATCTGGTCCTTTATATTTACAAAAATCACGTTTGGTCCCTCATTTTTCAACAATTTGACATTTTTGGTCATTTCCGTCAATTTACCATTAGTCCGTCAGTTACGGTAGTGATGGGCACACGTTTGATTATGTTAGTTTTCACAAAAAAATGACGTAAGTGGCTAAAAATGTTGAATTTTTTAAACATGAGGGACCAAATATGAAATTAGTTCGAACTTGTGGGGTGAAAAATGTAATTTTCCCTATTTCACTCTATTTTATTATGTAACGTAACGTAACGTGTTATTAATTAGGGAGGTGATATTCGCGGTAGCAAAATTACGAATGCGGGTTTAAAAAAATCCACTCTCTACTTTCTTTCTCTCTCTACAATTTTAGCTTTTATATTAGAAATCATTCCAAAACACATGTTATTGTAGCCATTTGAAAAAAAAAATGAGTGCATCGAATGAGGATCGAGATACGGAATCCAACGAGGTAAAATTTGTTCGTTTTTGTTCTTTAAATCGCGAAAACAAGACCCACGACCAAGTTGGACGCCCAAAAATACGTCTCACGCCTAAACTGAACGCGGAAAACCTAGATCCACGTCCAAACCGAACGCACGGGATGGTACATGGCGCCCGGTTCGAACGCGAACAAGTATTTCCCGCGTCCGGTTCGGGCGCGGAGAACTACTCCCCGCGGCCGATTTGGGCGCCAAAAACCAAAAACCACGTCCGGTTTGGGCGCGGAAAACTGCCAACCGCGTCCGGTTTGGGTGCCCAAAACCGATTTCCGCGTCCGGTTTGGAAGCGGAACACTTTTTTTTTTTTTTTTTTTTTTTTTTTTTTTTTTTTTTTTTTTATTATTATTATTCTTTAACCTTATTTTATTTATAATTATTTCAGGAAGAGCAACAACAAAATTCTTCTACATTTGAAGTTGATCATAGTGAGCATTTTATAGTACCGGAACTTTTTAACTCGAGGATTGAGTTGGTACAATGGGCGAGAATGACCGCCAAGAATCTTGGTGTAAAGTTGGTGAGCCGTAGTAGCCCTTCAAATAGAGCATATCTTACTTGTGATCTATTTGGGGTGAAGAGACCAAGTAAAACAGACACAGATGTGCCAAACTCTCGATGGTCGGGCACAAAGAAGATTAATTGTAAATTTTACTTGAAGGGAGAGCAACATTACGGGGATAGATGGGGAATTAGAATATTATACGGGAAACATAATCATGATCCCGTATATTTGTTTGGGCATGGGTCTACGAAAATGACTGAAGAGGAGGTGGAAATCACTCGGATGTTGGCAAAAAGTCATGTGCCGCCGAAGAAGATTTTAATACATTTGAAAGAGAAGAACTTGGCAAAAGATGTGCATTTGAGACAAATATACAATGAAAAGGAGAAAATGAAAAAGGAGGCTAGAGGCGGACATACAATTATGCCGCATTTGGTTGGGTTGCTTGAGGAACATAAGTATTATAAGTGGATCCGCACTGATCCAACTACGCATGAAGTGATTGATCTGATGTGGGCACACCCTCAGTCGGTCCTATGTTCACTAATAGGGTTGAGAGCGTCATAAAGCAGTAAAGGATGGTGTCGTCGTCCACCGGTGGATTTGACACCTTTGGGCTCAGTATCACTCACAGATGATCATTCAACTTAATGAGATTCTGAAAACATTTGGCAAATCAAGGAGGATCCGAGCGAAGACTATCAATGTACCCATTTTTAGGATTTTATCTTCCGGAATCGTCACACATGCGGCCCTTAAACTTTTGGACGTTGAGCGTAAAAAAAATGTCGAGAATTGCAATTGTTACTTGAAGAACACTCACGGTCTCCCTTGCAAACATGACATTGATCTTAAAGAGAGTAGACGTGGTGGTGTGTTTTATGCAGAAGATGTCCATAAATTTTGGAGGACCATGATTTTGTTGGATGGCAATGATGCTGAGAGTGTCGATTCAGTCCCCGATCATAGGACACAAGCACTTGGAAGATTAGAAGGATTGGTTGAGGAATTGCGTCAACGTTCTGACGTTGAGATTAATGATGTGGCGGACATAGTTTTTGAAAGGATACACCCCGGCGAGACGGAATTAAATGAGCCGTCAGTACAACGACCAAGAGGCAGACCGAGGAACAACTCCACGCAGAGAGAATTGTCAGCATGGGAACCTCGACCACGAGGTAGTAGAGGCCGTCGAGGCAGTAGAGGTCGTGGTCCACCTTCTGATTCATCTAGCAGAAATCGTAGTCGAGGTCGTTCATCTACTGTAAGTGGGGGCGAACCGGAACGCATTGTCCAACCTGAGTTTATCCGGAATCTACATTTTGCACTTGTACCCGATGTTGTGACGTGGAAGAACGTGTTAGGCGATGGTAACTGCGGATACCGGTCTGTTGCATGTGCAGTCAAGGGCGACGAGGAGAATTGGTATGATGTTAGATTGGATGTTTATAATTTTCTCAAAAATAATGAAGTGTTTTTCAAAGACTACTATGGCGGCGGGAATTACATATATCAAGTGATGACAAGTGTGGCACATTGGCAAAATGGACCGGCACCGCTAAATAAATGGATGACTATTACGGACGTGGGAGTGGTCGTAGCAACATGTTACAACGCTTTGGTGTTGTCGACAAGCAGTTCTGGAAATCAGACGTATTTGCCGCTTTTCTCCCCCGTTGGTGTTTCACAACTATCGCACGAGATGACCATTGTATACCTGGCGGAAGGGAGTCATTTTGTGTATGTGAAGTTGAATGATAATTGTCCACTGCCTCCATTTGACATGCAGTGGCGGAGGTATAGGAACGATAGTGTAGCTTATTTGGACGATGCATTAGCGGGTAGACGTCATTTGGGATACTCCATGCATAATCATTGGACTCGTAACGTACTTTATACGAAACAATTTTTCTTTCCCTCTTAGAACCACGCATCGGTAGAATAGGGGACGCGGGAATAATCTGTCGAAAGCCGAATTGGCGCAAGACTCTATCGGACATGTAAGGCTCGATCGTATCCATGAACCTGATAGTACCATGATGGAGTGTCTTCTCGACATCACGTGCCACATTCGGACCAAACGGAGTCCAATAAACCTATTATAATAAAATATACATATTAATAATACAGTTAATTCAGACAAATGAAACAATACATTGTACAAGTTACTTACATCGGTTGCACGTAAATGATCAAGCATCCGACGATACTCAAGTAATCGACTGCTATCCTTTCGAACCACGTCTGATATATGCCACCTCATGCACCATGGCTCTCCTATAACGTGTGCTTTAACCGTCGGAGGTCGAAAACTCGGAAAATACTCGTATATCCAACACTATACAAACGTATGAAACACAATTTAAAAATAATATAAATATTAATTATATTAAATAATTAAAGAAAATATACAAATAAAATAATTACCTCTAACAGTGTCAGACATCCGGAAATCTGTTTCGCCTCAGCTCGTGAAGCCATACCCAACTGTCGATATAGATTCGCCAATGTACCGGAGCCCCACGAGTACTCTCTAATCTGCTCGATGTCCTCTATAAGTGGGCAAAAATCTGGCTTCACTCTAGCACCGCTCTTATTGACAAATAAAGTCGATCCCAACAAGTAAATGATGTATGCTCGCACCTTACACTCTGACGAAGCTGATGAATGATCTCCGTATAGCTCCTGCAAGTCCTCTAATCGGGGGCCACCATTGTGCCACCAACTTTCTATCTTGAGAATGTCAAGATCGAATATTCTCGATCCAGATTCGATCACCAAGCTCTTCTGCATATCAGTGTAAGGACGATGTCCACTAACTCGCAACCCCATGATATAATGCACATCATGGAGTGTAATCGTCATCTCCCCAAAAGGCATGTGAAACGTATTTGTGTCCGGCTGCCACCTTTCAATGAATGCCTCAATCAGTGGGTTATTGTGCTGAGGGAGTACACAATGCTGCAATTGGTACAAACCAGTACCCTCCAACAATGCAACAGACCGAGGATCTGTTGGCCCACGCCAACCAGTCACCGCTTTTGTACGGGATTGCAATTTAACCATAGATCGCTCCTGTCCAAAATATAAACAAATATTAATTATGCAACTATCTACTATACGCATTTAAAAAAATACAATAAAAATTCATATAATAAAATATTACCTTTCCCTCCCAAATGTCATAGGCGACGTGCGCTCCGAAACTCGGTATCAAGTTATAGTCAGTAGGTCCACCAGGTGCCGGACCAGTCAACTTCCACGGACGAGTAACAGTATCGGACGAAGTACTACCCCGACGATGAGTAGCACCACCAGATGAAGTAGCAGCAGCACCTGTCAAAGTAGTCGGGGATGCGGAAACGGTATTGCCAACATCATTGCCATCATCATTGTCATCTAATCCAAAATCTGGCACCGGATAAACATACTGACCCTCGAAACCTACATGTGAATCATCATCATCCTCATCGGTCTGTGCATCTGGCTCCCTCAGTCGCAAATTACGTTCACCCCGTCGTGTAGATCCAGTAACCTTACGCTTGTGTGTCCTACCCTCTCTTTGTGCAGTAGTATCATCTACCGGTTCCTCGATTCCAGGAAATCCATCTGGTCTCATGCCACGTGTCATCGGTCCCTTGCCCCGTCCGTGTGGCCAACTCGCCGACATCTACAAATATCAACATATACAAATTACTTAACTAATGAATGAATTAATTAATTAATAAAAAAAATTGAAGGCTACTCGTCGACTTCTACAAAAATCAGTGTATACAAATATAAATTAACAAATGAATAATAAATTTAAAAAAAAAAAAAAAAATTGAACCGGGCTTTCGGTTTCGGCGCCGATAAAAAAATAAATTGAAGCCTACTCGTCGACTTCTACAAAATTCAGCGTATCCAAATATAAATTAACTAATAAATAATTAAAAAAAAAAAAAAAAAAAAAAAAAAAAAAAAGAAATTGAACCGGACGCCCGGTCCAGGCGCC